TTTCTTTTCCTACGCCAAATTAGATCAAAACCTTGATTTCTCAAGATCTATTAGAGTTCTGCCATAGGTTCTTCATCAAAGTTGGTTAACTTCTCGAAGGCTTCATTGTGTGCGGTGAAGATCGAGTTTCAACACCGTTGATTTTGGGGGTTTCATCTCATTTCTTCTTCAAAACTTGAGGTAGGGATTTTCTTAGAGTTATATATATATTTTTGCAAGATCTATATGATTTTTGAAATCATCTTTCGATAGCTTTGAAAATTGATTGTTGATTCAAGAAGTTGAGCGATTTTGAAAGTGGGTTTGTCTCTTGTTCTTTTAAAATGATCTTATGGGTTTTGATCTTCGTTGATTGAAGAAAAGATGATTTTGGAAAGTTCTCTTTCAAAATATTTGAGTTGTATAGTTTTGGTGAGAAAACTAGAATTTGGGGATTTTTTTTTAAAAGAAACTGAAAATCCATGAATGATAGTCTTGAAATGTTGAAAATGTTGAAATAGTCTTGAAATGACTAATTGTTGAGGATACTTGAGAAGAAGGAATTGTGTTATTCCTTGGATTATGAATTGGAATAAAAGTATTTATATTCATCTTGTGTTATTGGCATGACAATTCATTTGATTATATTAACCTTTGAAAGTTGATTTGAAAACTTGTATTGAGAAAAGAATGTTGAGAAACAAGTTTTTATGAAATGGTTTTGCGGTAAATACGTTGGTAAGTCTTGATAGGTGGTGTAGATGATATTGAATAAGTTGGCCTAAAAGTCCGGGCTAAAAGACCAAAAATCCACGCGGATAAGTGTCGAGCCTTCCGGTTAATACCGGTAAAAATGACAATTTGGTAATACTTGTATAGTCTACTTGCAAATACCGACCTACGAATCACCAGAGTTCTATTTACCGCCCTTGAAATAAATTGTTAAGTTTTGAACAATTGAAATTGCATGACATCATTGAGTATGATGGCTTTTAAAAGATAAAAATGTGATTTATCTTCAAAAGGGCACAGCATGGCATTCTCATTTCATCTCTTGAGACTTATATAAAATGTATATACTTTGTTAAGGATTTCCTATTGGGCTTTATGCTCACCGTACAGGATTTTTGTGCAGGAAAAGATGTGGTGATGCAGCCTAACTAAAGGCGAGAAATTTGTGTTGAGAGTATGAGACTCTCATTTTGCTGTGACTCGGTGTGTAAGCCAAGGGCTGTATGTGTGTGAGTTTGAATAACCGTTTTGTGTAACTAGGCTCAAGCCTTGGAAACTTGTAAACCCTTGGGGGTATTTACTTGTTGTTGGATTAATGTATTGTTGCATGAAGAACTATTGTATCATGTAATATAAGTTTGGAGATTTATATTCGGTTTTCCTTAAAGAGCCATGATTGTTGTATTATCATTTGTGTTAGAAATTTGGGGCGTTACATCTCCCGAACAGATCGTTTGAGCGAATTTTCTTTTCTCGAGCAACCAACAAAATTTCAAAGAGATCGCCTGACCGGTAAATGAAGGTTCAAGCTTCCTCAAGAAGCTAAAAAAGGTTCAAGAGGGTCAAGCTCTCTCAAGAAAAGGTCTCGGCTAGGAAAAGTGGCCGATTGATCAGAAACAGCGGCCGGCCGACCAAACACAATGCCGACTGACCATAAATAGTGCCGATCGGCCATCACCAATGGCCGGTGGCAAGGAAACAAGGCCGGTGGCCTCAAGCCATGGCCGGTGAGGTATGGGGATAGCCTACAAGCTACTTCCCACCATCAGAAGCAAAACAACAAGTGTTTGGTGCAAAACCAGACACAAAACAGTCGAGTCGAGAGATCCTGAGGCAGGCGCGTAGCCGAGACCTCCGGGAACTCAAGACGAACACGAACAAGGATGATCACCGAGTGTTCAAACGATGATGTCCAAGTCTTGAGGTCGGTCAAAAATGGGGTGTCTACAGAGCCATGATTGTTGTATTATCATTTGTGCTAGAAATTTGGGGCGTTACATCTCCCGAACAGATCGTTTGAGCGAATTTTCTTTTCTCGAGCAACCAACAAAATTTCAAGATCGCCTGACCGGTAAATGTGAGGTCCCCAAAGTTTTGCAGAGCTTCAGTGAAAATACTTGGAGCATGAAATATACACTCGAGCGACCACTTTCACCACTCGAGCTGTCTCACCTATAAAATGGCAAACTATTGAGAGCTTACAATCTTTGCTCAAGTAACAAAATGACCGCTTGAGCGACCTGCCAAAAACAACTATCACATTTCATCTTTGGTGAGGTTGGTAACAACATTCTTAGAGGCCATTTCACTACATTGATTACATAGGGTATGACATTCGCACACTTTTAAAAAATTTATTCCCGAAACACCACTGGTATGCAATATTTCCACTTACATAGGGAGATTGAAAACTTCGTTAAGCTCGTAATCATCTCCACCTATGTGAGTTAAAATATAGTACCCAATTAATTTTGAATTATTTAATAGGCAAAAACATCTCTTAATTCTACAACATAAAATCATGCATAATATATGAGTTCAAAAATGCGCCACACAATTTTGCTCGTGGGCTCCACTTGAATCCCTTTTGGTAATATGGTACAATATGTTAAGGCAACCTTGAAATGTAGTGGTGACAATGAAACATATCCCCTTACATGGCTATTAAAAAATACATCTAAAAAATAAATAATTACAACCCAAAAGAATCATATTACATTGATTCTAAGAAAAAATAACTTGGGGATACTACTTCATCAATACATTTGTGAAGTCTACCTCTAACAATATAAAAATAAATTTATGAACATGTGCACAAAAAATTACCAACATTACCTCCATCCATCCATACATACAAACATCAATCAATAAACAAATGGCCAAAGAATGGAGGTCAAATTACAATTCATACTAAGGAAAAAAGTGTAGTCATGAAGATCTAAGACTCAAAAATATATATTAGTTCTCAACTAATATATATTAAAAAATTAATTAATTAATTTCACAATTTAATAACACAAAAAATAATGCTAAAACAACTAAAAGGAATTAACAAATTATGCATGATTATTGACAAAGCAAAAAAATAATTTTCTAAAATTTTCTTAATTTTTAGAATTTTTAATTTTTTTTTATAATTTTCATAATTATATTTTTAATTTTTTGTAATTTTCAGAATTAAAATCTATATAAATATGTGAGAATATTCAAAGAAAATTCAATATAAATTAATTCCAAAAAACAATGGCCAAATCAATTACATAGAAAAATATAACAAATATCAGGGAATCTACACACGCCTAACATGTACCGCACACGCCTCGAGAAACGTGCACACGTGCCACACACGCGCTATGGAAGCTGCTCTACCCGTGTAGTAGAAGCTACATACGCCACGTGGCATGTGTACACACGTGCTCACCTCACGTGTTAATGACGTCAACCACATACAATGCACTGACGTCATCCGTGTTGGTTGCAAAACCGCGTTGAGTCACACCATGCTTGAGCTGTGTCGCACTGATTGCTCTAAGATACGTCATGCTAACGTCAGGAAGCGCGCCGAGTTACGACAAGCCAAGCTGAGCCGCTCTTATCCAGCGCTAACATCAGGAAGCACACCAAGTTGCGACGAGCCAAGTCAAGCCGCACTTATCCGGCTTCTGGACCTGTTTTCCCAAAAGTTCTTAAAAATAGCAATTTTGGCCTAAAAATCTTTGAAACACCATATATTTTTCAATTTTATTCCGATTAAAGCCCATTTTATATGGATGGAAAGCTCATTTCAAAATATGTTAATTTTTGTTATTGAAAACAATTTTTTTGTACTGATTTTTTAGTTAAAAAATCTATTGTAATGGAGTTTTGTAAAAATTAGAGTTTTCAAAAACCTTTTCGACATGCCATAATATTCAACAATAGTAAAACAGATAATATTGAATTGAAAATGGATAAAACCAATGTATGGCATGCAAATCATGAGGCAAAAACAAGCAATCATGGCTCTAATACCAATGGAGGAAAATATGCGGGTAATCAAATTATTTGAAGCAGAAATGGTTTAGATTGGAATATTTGAATTACGAGCCTTGTCCGTAAAACCCTTCGTCATCAATTGAGAAACTACCAGAGTTACGCAATATATTATCCACTCTCAAAATCCCTTGGTTCTACAATAGTGACCTAGGAGGGAAGAACAAAGAGAGAAATATTTTTTGCAAAGATTTTTCTGGATAAACTCCCACACCAATAATACGTATATTATTTTCTCTATATAAGATATATGGAGATTCTTTGCTGATAGAAGTGAAGTTGTAGACTCTCACTACCACTGTAACACTTCCAAAGATAATCCTTTAATTATCTTATTTATTTAATAAGTAAATTATCTATAAGTCATGTAGACGCTCCATGAGTAATGGGTCGGGTTAAGTCTGACATAATTTCCAACATGAACAGATACATGTTAAAGCACTAGAAAGAAAGACCATGCATAATGAGCTATCTCATTGAAAGGATACATAAATTAAAAAGAACTACTTGCATTTTGGTGGCCAACATAGATTAGGCAGAGCTAACCAAACAACCAATGCTTTGCATTCATGACAATTGAAATTCTCAACACTTCAATAATTATTGTTTAGAGATGAAATACAATGGAGATTGCCAACCAAACAACATGCCTAAAACAAACTGGCAACCCTTCAGAAAAATGGAATAATATAATATCATTTTGGTTGCAGCAAGATTCTACATTTTCCCTTCTACTTCAAATTTTCCCAACAACCAAACACCAAACAATTGACGAATATAACAAGATGGTTTGACTAAAGCAACATTACATCATCTGACTCAAAGGGGAATTGTTGAATATCTGCAGAATCCATTTCCCAAATCGTGAGCGATGTTGTGACGCTCACTCCTGTAGCGTTGTTGAACAAGAATGCTCGCGCTGCTCCATAAATTGCCTTTGTTGGATAGATTCGCGATGTGATCACTGTTCTTCCTCCTTGAGCAAAGCTCTCCACAATGGAATGATCAACCTAATTTATTTTTTTTTAAACCATTTAGGTTCATATATTAATCCCCCAAAAATGAAATTTTATAGGAAAAACAACTTAATAAGATTTGAAACTGAATTTTACATACAATTTAATGATTTTACATACCAATATTCTCATAGATAATTTTTCGCCATCTAGCACAGGGACCAAGCCTCCATAAACATTTTTGTTAACATCAGAAGCCTTCGATGACCTGCATACGATTAACACCATCTCATGTAAAAAATAATTTCTTGTTAGCTTGATCATAATCAATATAAACACTAGGAAGCCCATTTGGTAATGCTTCTGTTTTTATTTTCAAAAATTTTGAAAATCAAAAACAAGAATACATTTCTTAGAAAATTAAAGAGATTCCAAATGGACCTACTTATATGGGACCCACTTTTGCGTTCCTAATATAGTTGAAGAAACCAACCTCATTTCGTCGGAACAAAAGAAGGTCTTATAAGTGCCATCAATGTCCTTAGAGATGTAGAAATACACCGGTGTAAACTCAGATAGCGAATCATCAGCAATAACCAGAAGGCCAAATGGTCCTAGAGTGCCTCTCACAACAGCACCAGTAGTACTACAATTGTAGCCGACATCGCCTTCAAGTGTCCCTTCCAATGCCTCCTTATCTACCTCAAATGTGGCAGTTATGTCCAACTGTCACCATTATCAAACGGGTACATGTAAGTGGACTATTATTAATTAATACATGTTTACAATAATAATCCGACAATTGTATTAAAATATATGTAACATGAACCTGTGTAGCAGAGCTTATATTCAGTGGCACGATTGATCCGGGTCCAAGCTCTACGCCATTGAACTCAATACATTTCAACCTGAGTTTCTCCACTTCCTCCACAGGCCATTGAAGTATATTAGTTCTAGTTTTCTTGTCATACACTACAGTCCTTGGAATGGTCTGTGAAAACATAACAGGGAATTAATCTTCTCTATTCATGAGTTTTAGTAGAAGTCTTACTCTAATAACAAGTGTTTCAATTCAGACATGAACTAATGATTGGACATAGCTATCCAATGGGCCAGAACATAATCATTTTCTATTCTAGAAAAGAAAAACTTAAAAAAATAAAACAAACAAACAAACAAAATCACTGTAGGCTTACGATGAACTTGCCTTTATTCTATACATCTACGACACAATGAAGTATTTAGTGGTTAAAACTCGATTATGAACTTTGAAGTTGTGAGTTTGATATGAGGGCATTTATTTTTACAAATCATACCAATGTTAGGTCTATACTCAATTTACTCCTCTCAGATGTCATGCAATGGGGTTAAGCTATGCATCCTTCCCGTGGTGGAGCCAATTAAAACCTAGCGGGGACATGCCCCTCCTCAACTTTTAAATGTTACACTTTCCTGTGATTTTCTTTCAAAATATCATTCAATTTATCACTTACAAAATTATATACACCTTCTAAGGCCTTGTTTGGGAACAGGTTAATTTAGTAACTTTTTGGCTATTTGGCTAAAAAGGTAGGTAAAAAAAACTTGTATGTTTGGGATGACTTTTTGGCTAATTACGAAAAGATGTGCAAAAAGTAGAGAGAAAAGAGAATCTTTGACTTTTTGGTAAAACTCGATTATGAACTTTGAAGTTGTGAGTTCGATATGAGGGCATTTACTTTTTACAAATCATACCAATGTTAGGTCTATACTCAATTTACTCCTCTCAGATGTCATGCAATGGGATTAAGCTATGCATCCTTCCCGTGGTGGAGCCAATTAAGACCTAGCGGGGACATACCCCTCCTCAACCTTTAAATGTTACACTTTCCTGTGATTTTTTTTCAAAATATCATTCAATTTATCACTTCCAAAATTATATACACCTTCTAAATTTGTTAAATGTATAGCCCATTTCTTTTATCATTTTCAAAAAAACCCTACACTTACCTTTCCATTTTTATTTTGCTATAAAATTTGTTTATATATAATTTATTTTTATTTTTTTTTATTGTTTGCTCAAATAAAATAGGCTTTATTTGATTACATATAGATCATTTGAAATTTTAAAATTATTGAGATTTTGTTAAACAATGGATTGATTTTTTGAATTACTAGGTTACAATTTTTTTTCATTCTTTTCATCCAACTCGATACACCATTTGCTTGAATACAAACATAGATTGACTATTTATTTGTTCTGCATGGAAATTTAAAAAGGCATCCCCATTTACTGGATGTATTGTACTCGCATTTTATATTTTTACTTCGCACTCTTATTGGTTGAGAGTGCTCTAAACTCAAATGTTACGATAATTAATTGTAGTAATATGTATTCTATTCTATTCCTTCTACAATGACACAACGAAGAAGCATATGCAACATTTTCCAGTTACAAATGTAGCATGTTCTTTTGTAATTACAATTCTTTCATGCAACATTTGCCTCAAATGTAATAAAATGTTGCCTATAACCATAAGTTAAACTTATGGGTAATTTATAATAAACCCTCTTAAACTATGGCTCATTGCACTTTGCCCCTTTGAATTTCAAAACTCAACAATTAATCATCTCGAACTATTATCTAATACTTTCCGTTAGGATTATGTTAAGGATTTAAATAGAATCAGGTCATATGTGAAGTACATGACATATTTATTGATTTTTTATAATAATAATACATGTTATTGATTATTTTAGGACAATAATACTCCTATCTAATAATCCCATTTGTATTTTATTTTCCTTATTTTAATGGCAAACTGTAAACATAGGATCAACATATAGGAGTATTATTGACCTAAAAATTCAATAAATGTGCCATGTACTTTACACATGATATGATTTTGTGTAAATTTCTAATAGAATTCTAACAGAAATAGTTAACTGCAACAGGATAATATTTTGAGGTGGCATTGTTGAATTTTAAAGTTTATGAAGCATTAATGAAATGGGTTGTAGTTTAAAAAGGCTTACTGTAATTTATCCTAAACTTATTTACATAATTTGAACACATGGAATTGTAAATTAAATTTACTAAAATAGAGAAATTTTTTTACGATGATAGAGAAGTAATATACCTGAACGGATGCCCAACCTTTCAAGAGGTCATCATTTTCACTATCAGTTTCTCCAATCCAAGCCCACAAAATCCGCCTCTGCTTGTTCTGATCATAAAATGTCTTTGATGCATAGTACTTTCCATAATCTACTCGCAACCCGATACCCACATCCAGTTCTGGGTTATCGGGCATCCATGTGTTATTATTCGGATGATATGTCCCCAGTGCATAATAATCCTTCATCTCATCAAACAAACTTGCCTTAAGCACATGCTTAATATCTGGTCCATTAAATGATGTGTCCAGCCCACTTATATCGGTAGTTGAAACTGGGTAAAAGTCCACACACTCCCAAATGCCCGTACCCCGAACCTCATGCATAATCCCATCCAATGGCTCATAGTTAATGAAGTTAGTGGTTTGGTACACAAGGATTATACCCGTTGTATTAATCTTTGACCCGATTGCGACCCGCCATTTGCCATCCCCGGCATGCCACGCAGTGGTCGGGTCCCTAAAGTCCTCAAGACCAACACCGGGTGGAGGGACTATAACCGGGTTATCCTTATACTTGACCCAATTAAGAAGGAGAGGATCGGATAAGTTGGCAGGATATGCAAGGTTTTGCACCTGCACATAATTATCGGAAATACCAGTGTAAAGCATTATGATTCCTCCATCGGGGAGAAGCGTGGCGGACCCAGTCCAAACACCATTCCAATCGAACCGGTGATCGGGTACCATGGCAAGGGGGAGGTAGAGCCAGTGGATCAAGTCCCTTGATACTGCATGGCCCCATGTGATATTGCCCCAAACTGGAGAAACTGGGTTGTATTGATAGAAAAGGTGGTACCACCCCATATGAAACAATGGGCCTACAACCATGCAAAATTTAACATATATAAGCAGGTCATAAAATAGGGATGGCTTCCTTCCTGTCCATGATCTATAGTGAAAGATGCTATTGGGATTTGTAGGGTTCATTACAGGTTTCGTTTCAATACTCCAAACTATTACATTTATAGAACCCTTCATGTATATCTGTAAAAAAAATCAAGTTGACTTGAAAATTGTAACATATTTCACTAATTGCATTTATCTGAAAAATAAAAAAGGAAAAAAAGAAAAAATAAACGACAAGTATATTTTTAAAATAGACCATTCAATTTTTTGCTAATCAGTTAAATATTATTAATGTTCATCAATATTATTATATAAAATAAACACTGAATTTAGTGTGGACACAGAATGTCACAATTTTCGCTTTTCAAAAATGTTCCTCTATAACTTTAGCTACTACTACCACTACAACATTTAAAAGTTTTAGAGACCAAATATTTTAATCTTTAAAAGTGAAAATTTTATTAGAAAAGATATTTAGGGACCAATTTCTATCGTCGTGAGGATAGTCGCTAAAAGGTCATCCCGAAAAGTCAAAAACAAGGATTTTAGCCACAAAATTTTGAAAAATGTCGTTAATAAATAGAGTTTTACGGACAAAATAATTTGGTTTCAAAATGGTTTATTTTTTGAAACAAAAAATTTTGTCCCAAAAAGATAATAATTCATCACTAATGCTTAATTTTCATTACTAAAAATATAATGACGATATTTTTCACAATAAAAATATTTGGTCCTTAAAAAATAATTTTGTCCCTAAATTTTGATCTCCAAAACCTCACTTTTTTGTGGCGATACTACTGATTCAACCATATCTACATTTGTAACTGACGATTTCAATTACCAACTATTGAATTCAATCATACCTACAAATTTGTTATTGTCGATTTCAAGCACACCCATATACACATATAAAATGCAAGACTTACCATCATTACTGTATTCTTGAAATTTTCAGTCATTTTTCCTAGAAAATTCTGGACAAGAGAGGGTGAGTGGATTGTTTGGCCACAAAAAATAAAAAATAAAAAAATTCTGTTGGATTTGTTTGACTACAGAATATCATGAAAATTTTTGTTTTGTAAATAAGAAGAAAATGTTATTCTATGTATTAAACGCAATTAGGGGAAATTAAAGACAACCTTTTTAGATAACATGTCTACTTCTCAACTTTTTGAATTATTTAAAAAAGTTTATTTTTTAAAACTTTTTACTGTGTAACATATGATATAATAATATTTTTGCAATAATATTACATATCAAAAACAATTCCCTAAAAAAGTACTTAGAAAAATATTTCTAGTGACAATATTTGTTTTGGGTGTGCCTCACATTATATCAACTTCAAATCTATGTCATGCACTTCAAATTTGAGATAACATTCAAAATAAAATTTCATATTAGATATCATTTTTCATATATATATATTTTTTTATTAGACTGAAAAAATCAAATAATAATACTAGTAAGCAATTTTTAAGGGAAGCCTTGACACTGGTGCAATTTTATGTCTAAAATAATTTCTGAATGTAAACATTAATAATTTTTTTTCTCTTTATCATACTCTTCGTTGTATTATCCATTTCTTCTATGTTATGGGACTCTCTTACGAATATACACAAAAATAAAAAATAAAAAAATTCATTCTAAAATCACTATAACAAAATCATTCTAAAGGATGTGAGCTCTTCTTTTGGATTGGATGGTTTGTTAGATTGGTTGTTTCATCCTCATGGAATCATATTATATATAATGTCCTTTTGTTAAACTAATAAATAAATAAATAAAGTAGGTGATCCTCCAACATCGCCCAATAATTTTCCATGTGATCTTTGAAATTGCGTTTTTATACCAACAGATGACACTGACTTGTTACATTACCAAAATAATAATATTACAATCTCAAAAAAAATTATCCTGAATTTATTTAAAAATATTAATCTGTAACTTAAATTCATTTTATCTTAAACTCATACTATACTAATTTTATTTTCACCACACAAATATCTCACCAATAAAATTCTTAACATGTAAATCTGGGACCGTAATTTTTTGTTACCAAAAGAATATAGAAATAGACGGGGAACCACCACAACCCTTTTCATTGGCCCAAAAGCCTCTTAAAGAAAATGAACCATTCCACTTTTTCGGCTTAAATTACATTGACACCCCTGCATATTTCTCAAATAATATTATCGCCTTTTTTATTCTCCGAAATCAAATTCCATTCCCTTATAATCCATTTTTTCAACTTAAATTACATTGACGCCCCTTCATGCTTCTGAAATAATATTATTACCCTTTTAATTCTCTCAAACCACATTGTTTTTCATTATTTTGAAATTTTTTATGATACTTTCATTCAATCGTTAGTCTTCCATTTACAAACAGGATGAAAAAGTGTGAAATTAGCAAAAAAATTCTTAAAATGCCAATATTGTCCTTTTTTGTTTCCATATCTCTTCATCCAACTCCTTTTTTTGTGTGTATGTGTAACCCACCACCCTTTACCCTCTTTTCCTACCTCACCCACTCCTTCCATTGAAAACCCATACAGTATATACTCATCCCCCAAAACTATTTGATTCCATTATAGAATTTAGACAACAAATTCAAGAAATTATATATATATATATATGTATTGGTGGTTATGTATTGTAAGAAATGGTTTGGAAAAGAAAAAATTATTTGGCCAAAAAAAAAAGATTTTTTGTAAAACTTTGGTCTAATTTTTAGGTGAGACCCATGCGGTGAAGACCCATGCGCCGAGGTTGGCAGGTATTGGTGATAATACGTTCTATGTCACGTTGTGATTCACGTAATATATTTAGTTGTTCAAAACCATTATCGGATGAATAGGGAATTGATGCCAAAACAAGCTCCATGAAAATGGTGTTTTGGTGGATTTCCCAAATTGAAGGAAGGAAAGCTTGTCCCACATTGCTTGGGTAGGCTAACATTGTATGGGTTTATAAGTCTTGGGGTTTACAACTTGAGGAAAGCTCCAAAGGGTACCCAAGTTTTGTGGAAGGGTAAGGTTATGGTCAAAATGACCTACACCCATTGGACCCAAAACAAACATATGTGATGCCGCCGCCGGAGCCCGTTCGATCGGGTGGACTGGGCTGGGCTGGGCTGGGCTTGGGCGTGGGTGCATGGTGTGAGGTTAGGATGGGCTTGTCAAGCCCAATGCTTATCTTTTTTGAGCCAAAAAGATTTGAATTTTATTTTTCTAAAATTAAATTATTACCTTTTGGAATTTGAATTTCGAAATTAATTTCGAAGTGGCAGTTTGGTCCAACACACCTGTCTAGATTTCTTCCTGCACCCAAACAGGTTCATATCTGTTTAAATTTAAACTAAACAGGTTCATATCTGTTTAATTTCAACTGAGCAGGTCTTATACCTGTTCAAACCTGTCCGAACAAGTTTTCTACCTATTCTGAAAAGCCACCAGGTCTTCTATAAATAGACAGTCCCTCATTTGGATTTTTGTACTCAATAATTTTCGTTCTTGCCTCTACTATTGCTCTCTGCATTATGCTGCGTTTATTTTTCTGTGAAAAAGTGTATAAACACAAAGTGTGTTCGTTGTGCAAATACTTTGTAGTGTTACTACTGTTCATTGTTGATCATTTTATCCTAAGAGATAGACGTCCATAATCTAAAAGTACCGAGGAGAGAATGAATCTGTCTTAAGGATATAGTGTTAAACACTGGACTTGATCAAAATTTTGGTCAAGAAAAGATAAGTGATTAGTTTACTTTTCTATTTTATTAATTTTTCCTTTTCAATTCTAATTTTGTTTTTGTAACAAAATAAGAATCTGTTGTTTTATTTTTTTATATACTGTTTTGATTTTTGTAATGAAACAATCTCTCCCCTTTCTTTGAATATATTGAAGATTGTCCAACAATCTTCAGACAAAATTTGTTTCTTTAATAAGTTTTCAATATATTAATAGAATTTGTTTTGTAAACCTGTTTATTTGAATCCAATAAAATAATTTTTTAGTTTTTGTAATAAGGAAATTATTGTGTTGTATTTTATTTTTCTAAATTTAGTAACTAGAAAATTAATTTCTATTTTGGTTTTGGGTTTTTTTTTTTTTTTTTTTTTTTTCATATATTATTGTTGTTTGTAATCCTATATTATGACTTTTGAAAGTGGTACTTCAAATTCAATTGTTACAACGACTCTGGTCCTTACCCAAAACCATGTTCAAGTTCCAATTAGTCATGGAGAAAAAGGGGAAAAATTTAATGGCACTAAGTTTAAGAGATGACAGTAGAAAATGCTGTCCTGTCTTACAACTCTTAATCTTGCATGGTTTCTCCATGAAAATGTTCCAGTACTAAAAGAGGGTGAAAATGATCGGTAAGTTGTTGCCATTGTGGACGCTTGGAAGCATTCTGACTTTCTTTGCAGAAAATACATCCTCAATGGCACAGACAACATACTGTATAATGTTTACAGCCCTTTGAAAATAACAAAAGAATTGTGAAATTCTTTGGAGAAAAAATACAAGGCAGAAGATGTTGGCACAAAAAAATTTGTTGGTAAATTTTTGAATTTTGTTATGATAAACTCCCAATTGGTAATTTCTCAAGTTCAAAGTCTTGAATTAATTTTACATGATATTCATGTTGAGGATATGTTTCTTAGCGAGTCTTTCCAAGTCACAGCGTTAGTAAAAAAATTACCACCGGATTGGAAAATTTTCAAAAATTATTTAAAACATAGACGCAAAGAGATGACCATGGATAAATTGATTGTAAGACTGAGAATTGAGGAAGATAACCATAAGGCTGAAAAGAGGAATAGTAAAAATCTCATTGAGTCCAAGGCTAATGTAGTGGAACAAGTGCCCAAACCACATAACAAGAAGAGAAAGTTTGCTAGAGATGGTCCTAAACAAGGCGACAACAATGACAATAAAAAGTTTAAAAGAAAATGCTATAATTGTGGCAAGACCGAACATCGTGCCTCTAATTGTCGTCGTCCTA